AGGAGAGGAGAGGAGAGGAGAGGAGAGAAGAGAAGAGAAGAGAAGAATGGAATGAAGAATAGAATAGAATTGGAACGGAACAGCACAGAATTCAAAATTCATATTCGAATTCGAATAGATCTGGAAGAGAATTTTGGAGGTCTTCCAGTCCAACCCCCTGCTCAATCCTAGACCAGTGATAGCTAACCTTTTTGCTGCCATGTGCAAAAAGTGGGAGGGGAGTGTGGGGGGGTTGCACCCATAATTCAGTGCACCCCGCCCCCTGCGCATGCGCGCGTGACACCCCTGCGTTCCCCCCGTTTTTGGCACGTGATGGCGTGGTGGACCCAATAGGCCCGTTTTTCACCCTCCCCAGACTCCAGAGGCCTTCTTGGCGCCTGGGGAGGGCGAAAACAGCCTTCCCCATCCCCCTGGAGGCCCTCCGGAGGCCGGAAACAGCCCGTTTGCTGACTTCCGGTGGGACTGGAAAACCCGTTCTTCACTCTCCCCATTCTCCAGAGCCTTTCTAGGAGCCTGGGGAGGGCGAAAACGGCCTTCCCAAACGCCCCCGGAAGCCCTCTGGAGGCCGGAAATAGCCTGTTTCCCGACTTCCGGTGAGTCCGGAAGGCCCAAAAATCAGCTGAGTTAGGGCAACTCTCGTGTGCCCACTGATATGGCTCCACGTGCCACCTATGCCACAGGTTCGCCATCACGGTCCTAGACCATTTCAGACGTGTGTGTGTGTTGCACTTGCTTTGTAGGGAAGCCAGGCTGGAGATGAGCACCAGAGAAACGGGGGGACGGACGACGGGACCCTCACGCTCCATGCAAACGCACACCTGAGGGCGCTACAGGTATTCCTCAAATTCGTTTCGTGGCCGCTCAAAGTTACAACCGGCACTGAACAAAGCGATCTGTGACCGTTTTTCACCCTGAACGACCGTGCGGTCCCGTGATCAGGCCCTTGGCAACGGACTCGCGGGTACGACGGTTTGGCCGTGTCCCAGAGGTCCCGTGATTTTCCTTTGGCGAACCTTCTGACGAGCGAAGCCGACGGGGAGGCCCGGATTCACTTAATGACTGTGTTCCTCGCTTGCCCACTCCAAGTGGCCTCTGACACCTTCCCCCTGCTCCCCAAGACGAAACCCCCTAACTCTCCCGAATGGGGCAAATGTGGAAACTGTCATCCGAATCGGCCGCCGCGTTTCTGCAGCAGAACCGAAGCTACCGTGCCATGTGAGCAGAAGAGGCTCAGCTGCGGACGGGGCTGCTTGGGGTGGGTGGGGAGGGGAGAAGGGTGGGAGGGTGCCAGCAGTGGTGCGATCCTGCCGGTTTAATAACCGGTTCGGTGATCACGCGCTGATCGTCGGAGCTAGCGGATCGCTCAAACCGGTCCAAACCGGTTGAATCCCACCCCTGTGTCGCAGGCGATGCTGCCTGCTAACCAGCTGGGAGCTCTCTCTTTCTCTCTCTCTCTCTCCACCTCGTTCAGCTCTTTCATCCGCGCACCCCTCTCCTCCGTAATCATGACCCTGGCACCTGTCGCATGATGCAACACACACGCACACACAAGCACACCCGTGGCTTCAGCTCCCCGCCGTGCACCAGGACTCCGTTTCCCAGATTCAGAGGGCAACGTGGGTTCCCCCCACCTGTAGCAAAGACAGATGGCAACAGGGTTGGGGATTGGGCGATGCCAGGATTCAGAGCTGGCGCAAGTTCCTTGCAGGGGCACGGTTGCAAATCCTGGCCAGTTACTGTGGAAACGCGCAGGTAAGGCGAATGTGATGCACACGTGTTTCCTGGACCCCCCCCTGTGTATAAAGAGGAGGGGGCTCTCTAAGGAAAGACACCCTCCCCAGTGCCGATTCTCGTCTCTTCCAAGAGGGGAAGGTGGGGGGAAAGGAAAGACGTCTTTCGAAGCTGACCTGCGTCACCCCATTAATTTCCAACAGATGCCGTCTCCTTTTTCTTAATTTTACTTGCTTTTTTTCACCCAGAGGACGCCATCAAAACGATGCGGCTAATTAAACAGGAAGATGCATCTGTCAGCTTCCTCCACATCTGTTCGCAGGAGACGCCCCAGATCCACACGAGGGGAGGGGGGGCTGCTGCGCATCCCCGGGGGGTGCACGCACGGACCTAAAGGCGTACACCTGCGTCGTGTTACTCCAGGTAGATCCTGGACTTAACAACCATTCGTTTCGTGATTGTTAAGGGCGAGAACCGGTTGCAAGTCACACGTTCAATGCCGTCGTAACTTGAGGGAACGGTCCCTGAACGAACGGTTCATCAGAACGACTGCGGGTCAGGGACTACGATTTTTACAACGGCGAAAAAAGGAAGGTTCTACATTTAGGCAAGAAAACGTAAATGTATATATACAGATTAGGTGAAACAGTTCAATAGTAGTGACTGCGAGAGGGATCTTGGAGTCCTAGTAGACAGCCAATTAAATATGAGCCAGGCGTGTGCGGCAGCTGCCTAAAAGGCCAACACAATTCTAGGCTATATTAATAGAAGGATAGAATCAAGAATTAACACGTGAAGTGTTAATACCACTTTATAAAGCCTTGGTAAGACCCCAAAATTCCGTAGTCCGCCTGGGGTTTTTTTTTTCTCCTATCCCCTAAAGTGGAGAGATTGCAGAAGAAGGGATTAGAAGAGAGTAAGCGAACCACAATGGGGATACATATCACGTGAAATGTTAATAGCACTTTATAAGGCCTTGGTAAGACCCCAAAATTCCCCAGTCAGCCTGGGGTTTTTTTCCTCCTATCCCCTAAAGTGGAGAGATTGCAGAAGAAGGGATTAGAAGAGAGTAAGCGAACCACAATGGGGATACATATCACGTGAAGTGTTAATACCACTTTATAAAGCCTTGGTAAGACCCCAAAATTCTCCAGTCAGCCTGGGTTTTTTTTCCCTCCTACTCCCTAAAGTGGAGAAATTGCAGAAGAAGGGATTAGAAGAGAGTAAACGAACCACAATGGGGATACATATCACGTGAAATGTTAATAGCACTTTATAAGGCCTTGGTAAGACCACATCTGGAAGACTGCATCCAGTTTTGGTCGCCACGATGTAAAAAAGATGTTGAGACTCGGGAAAGAGTGCAGAGAAGAGCAACAAAGGTGATTAGGGGACTGGAGGCTAAAACATATAAAGAACAGTTTCAGGAATTGGCTACGTTTAGTTTAATGAAAAGAAGGAATAGGGGCAGAAGGCAGGATAAGAAGCAAAGGATGGAAACTCATCAGGGAGAGAAGCAACCTGGAATGAAGGAGAAACTTCCTAACGTTGGGGACAATTAACCAGGGGAACAGCTTGCCACCAGAAGTTGTGGGTGCTTCATCACTGGAGGCTTTTAAGAAGAGACTAGATAGCCATTTGCTATCCAGAATGGTATAGAGCAGTGATGGCTAACCTTTTTGCTGTCATGTGCCAAAAGCGGGGGGGGGGTTTGCGCCCATGCGTGCCCACCCCCATAATTCAGTTTGCCCCGCCCCCTCCCCGCGCATGCGCGCGCGACACCCCTACACGCCCCCCGCTTTTGGCACACGATGTCATGGTGGGCCCAGTAGGCCCGTTTTTCGCCCTCCTCAGACTCCAGAGGCTTTCTTGGAGCCTGGGGAGGGCGAAAACAGCCTTCCCCATCCCCCCGGAGGCCGGAAACGGCCCGTTTGCTGACTTCCGATGGGACTGGAAGGCCCGTTCTTCACTGTCCCCAGGCTCCAGAGCTTTTCTAGGAGCCTGGGGAGGGCAAAAACAGCCTTCCCCATCCCCCCGGAGGCCGGAAACGGCCCGTTTGCTGACTTCCGATGGGACTGGAAGGCCCGTTCTTCACTTTCCCCTGGCTCCAGAGCTTTTCTAGGAGCCTGGGGAGGGCAAAAATGGCCTTCCCTACACACACACACACACACCGCGGAGGCCCTCTGGAGGCCGGAAATAGCCTGTTTCCCGACTTCCGGTGGGCCCGGAAGGCCCAAAAATCAGCTGAGCTAGGGCAACGCTCACATGCCCGCCGATATGGCTCCACGTTCGTCATCACGGGTATAGGGTCTCCTGCTGGAGCAGGGGGTTGGACTAGAAGACCTCCAAAGTCCCTTCCAGCTCTATTCTGATTGCAATTCACCCAGGTTATGCAATTACCCAATTCATCAACGACTGACGGAGTAGTCAGGTCATTCTTCTGTCCGGATAACGATATCGCCCGTGAGGCGCGTTTCCCTTTCTTCTCTGCAACCGTGCCACGTCGTCGAGCGGACATCTTTTAGCACAGGATTCTGCAAGACAACATCCGCGTTGCAATGAAGGTAAGGAATGAAGTTCAAGCAAAGAAAAGTAGCAGAAAGCAAAACGGAGCCTCAGCTCTCTGCTCTTCGGCTCCCTAAAATGTTGGATTTTTTTTTTTTAAATATATTTATTTCTCCTTTGTAAAAATTCATCCCACGTTACAAATGTTGATTACAAATGTAATGTTTGTTACCCGTATTTTCCGGTGTATAAGACGACTGGGCGTATAAGACAACCCCCAACTTTTCCTGTTAAAATATAGGGTTTGGGCTATACTCGCCGTATAAGACCACCCCTCTTCCAACGCACACCAAATAAAAATTAAAAAACATCAACTGGCTCACCCACAATGTAAAAGCAGCTGTGCTTAGACCCAAAATGGCCCCTGCAACAAGCAGGAACCTCACACAGCCACAAAAAGCCCAAAAAAACAACTTTCACACTTTACACACACATACAGCTTTGTGAGATTTTGTGTGTTTGTGTGGTTAGAGTGAAACACTACAGAAACACACTAAATCTCAGAAAGCTGCACAAATATTATTTTATTTTATTTTATTTTTATATGAAAGCAAAATTTAAAACTTCCTAAACTTTAAATGGCTAGGTCTAAAAAAGAACAATAAAAAAAAACCCCAATTAACTATTTTTTTTTTAAAGCTCCCAAAGGGGAAAAAAACTTACCCAATAGAACAGGGGTCTCCAACCTTGGCAACTTTTAAGACTTGTAGACTTCAACTCCCAGAATTCCTCAGCCTGCTTTGCTGGCTGAGGAATTCTGGGAGTTGAAGTCCACAACTCCCTGCCTGCTTGATTGCAGGCAGGGAGTGGCTTGCTGATGGAATGGATTCAGGCAAGCGAAGCAAGGCAAGCGTTGCGACTTGCAGCTAAGGTAAGCAAGCTGGAGGGGGAAAACTTTTTTCCTTTTACATGGCTCTGGCGATCCAAGCTGAGTTGCCTGATTAGCATTCGGGCTGGTCTGCCTGGTTACAGGAGAACGACACCCGGCGTATAAGACGACCCCCGACTTTTGAGAAGATTTTCATGTGTTAAAAAGTCATTTTATACGCTGGAAAATACGGTAATCCTCTCTTTTGGGCTGTTGTGAACTCGGCTGTCCGATGGGAGGCATAGAAACTTAGGAAATAAGAAACCATGAAATTTTCCCTTTCTCTTCGACAGCATCGGCGGGGCCCTAGTATGATCTGAAGTCAGCCGGGACCCGGATTCGAATCACCCCGAATCGGCGCCCAAGCAGGGCTTCCCACTTTAGATGAAGCCACCATTTTCTTCAAATCATGGTTGACTATGAATAATTCCTTTATCTAAGTCTGCAATCTTCAACACTCAAAAGAGCCATTTGGACCCGTTTCCCACAGAAAAGAAAACACCGGGAGTCACAAAACCTGGGTGGGCGTGGCCAACTCGACGCCAGTCACTTCCAGCAGTCACATGACCTCCCCCCCCAGCTATGCCTACCCAGCAGGTCATTAGGGCAGAGAACCGGTTGTTAGAAAACACCGGGAACCACAAAACCCCTTTGATATCTCTCTCTCTCTCCTCTCTCTCCTCCCTCTCTCTCTCTCTCTCTCTCTGTATCACTCTCTCTCTCTCTCTCTCTCTCTCTGTATCTCTCTGCCTCTGTCCCGGCCACTTCTCCATCCCCTGCCATCGCCCTTACCTTCTCAGGCCAGGCGAGGAGGGACTGGTAGGGGAGGGCGAGGGACGGGGACAGCTAGCGGTGGGCTTACCCGACAGGGAGCCACAGCAGAGGGCTCACAGAGCCGCATGGGGCTCCGGAGCCGCAGGTTGCTGACACCTCTGATTTAAGTTGATACTGATGGTTGGCAAACCCTAATGCAGTATTTTTCAACCTTGGCCCCTTTAAGACGGGTGGACTACAACTCCCAGAATTCCCCAGCCAGCAACGCTGGCTGGGGAATTCTGGGAGTTGAAGTCCACCCGTCTTAAAGGGGCCAAGGTTGAAAAACACTGCCCTAATGGGCAGTCACATCCAAGATGAACCATATCTTGACTTAGCTAGTGTGCAAAGCCACACACACACACACACCCCTGTTGAATTCACAACTAATTGTGGGGAAGGGAGGGACTCCCACCTCCTTCATCCCTCACTCCTCTGCCATGGTTTCCCCCCCACCACCACCACCAATGACCCCCACCATCATCCCCAATGATCTTCCCATCATCCCCAACCCCGAGACCCTTGGCCCCATCTTTTCCGTGACCCACACAACAGAGCCCCTTGCAGAAGGGGGGGCAGCAGAAGCCCTGGGGACTACATTTCCCAGCAATCCCAGCCACCAGTCAGGGTTGCAGGGAATTGTGGGAGCTGAAGTCCCAGCATCTCAGGTGGCTCTCACCACTACTCTACCCGTCCTTTGGGTTTCCCAGCAGCCTCTGCTCCCCCCCTTCCGCCCCTCCCTGCTTGAGCCCCCTCCCCACCTCCTCCTGCCCCCCTCGCCCCTTTTTTTGCAAATGCGCACCCCCCTCCTCCTTCTCCACGTCCCAACTTCGCACCTGTCCCCCCTTCCAAAGCAGGTTGGTCTCTTCCAGGTCTCCGCCCCTTCATCCATGTTTCCAAGGCAACGGATCAACGGTAAAGGCTTCGGGGGCGGAGCTCCGCGTGGCAACCGTTGCTGCGGGGAGGGGTGCCTCAAGCAAGGCGGTGGGCGGGCATCAGTTCTCATGACTGACAGGCAAAGGAGGCTGAGGGAAGCGGTTGAGGGCGTGACAGGGAGGAACAATAGTTCGCGCGCAAATCACCAAGGGCGGGGCGGGTGGGAAAAAAAACAACGTGCGGCGGTTGGTGGGAAAGAAGAGGCGGGGAAATCTACGTCAGCTGTCAATCATTATACAGTACAAACCCGAGGCGGGAGCGAGAGGAGGGGGTGGAGAGGAGGCGGGAGCCGCCTGTCAATCACATCCTGTGGTTCATCTAATTGGATAATATGAATCGGGGAAAAAGAAAAACTAGGCCTGCCATAGTTAGAGGGCGTCAAAGAACAAGATGGTGGTGTCTCCTTGCTGCCCCCTAGTGGTCAACTGGAGATTTTCAATTCAGAATTCATTAACCCCCTCCAAACTAATATAACACCTCATAATTAAAAGAAAAGCCAAATTTAAAAAAAAAAATCAAATTAGGGAGGGAAAAAAGAAATAGTAATTGGGAATATACCAATCATGGAGAAGAAATATTAATTTTAACAAATTCTAAATTTTAATAAATTCTAAGAAATGTTAATTTGATTACATCTTAATTTTCAGTACGTTTTATATTTTAATCAATTTTAATTTTAAAAAACACATTTTAACAAAATCTAAAAAGGAAAATTCAGAGTTTCATCCCCAAATTTTGTTCAGGTGGTACAATACATGCCTAGGGAAACTGTAACCCCCCCCAAAATGCCATTAATTTTAGAATTCTTCTTATTATTATTATTATTATTATCATCATCATCATCATAAACCATTAGCACCAGTCAATCATATTTGTGATGCATTTTTGAATGTTCGGTTGACTGAGTTTCATGTTTAATGAATAAAGTAAATAATAATAATAATAATAATAACAACAACAACAACAACAACAATAACAATAACCAGTCAATGGTATTTGTGATGCATTTTTGAAAGTTCAGTTGACTGAGTTTCATATTTTAATGAATAAAGATAATAATAATAATAATAATAATAATAATAATAATATCGTCCTCCGACGATACCTTAACAGTTCCTAGGTCCTTGGTTAGGACTCGAGCTGCTGAGCTATTAACCAGCCTCAAATGCTGTGAATCTCACTAAAGATTAACCAATAATAATAGTAATAATAATAATAATAATAATAATAATAATAATAATAATAAACCAGATGCCCTCCTATAATGCATTGCACCACCGCTGAGCGTCACTTGATGGCTGCTTCCCAATGTAATAAATAAACAGATAAATAAAGCTTCCCGGAGTCATTTTGCAGAGCAAGATGGACAGCATATCAATTTAATGGGTTAATAAATGATAAATCATTAATTATCTTGCTCAAGAAAGGTTAAAAAAATTCAGCTTGAAGCGAGCAAGGCTGGCTGGGGAATTCTGGGAGTTGAAGTCCACCCTTCGCATAATAGCCAAGATTGAGAAATAGCAATTGGGAGCGGCCCCCTAAGCCAGGAAAACATTGCATCCTGCTCCCCCTAAGTCCTTACAGATGGTCCTCGCCTTATGACCACGACGGAGTCCAAAATTTCTGTCATTACGGGATCCCTGCAGCTGTTAAGTTAGTAATATGGTTGTTAAGCGAATCTATGGCTTCCCCATTGCTTGTGCTTGTCAGAAGGTCGCAAAAAAGGGGATTGTGGGACCTTGGGACTCAGCAACCGTCATAAGTACGAACCAGTTCGCCAAAGCCTCTGAAATTTTGATCGCACGGAGATGCCTCCAAAAGGCGTCGACGGCATCGCTGCGTTTCTTAAAGAGAGTCCCACGGTTGTTAAGTGAAATCTGCATTCCCCACGGACTGTCCCAAGGTCGCAAAAACGTGACCCACCCCCCGGGACACTGCGACCGTCGTAAATGTGAGCCAGTTGGGAAGCGTCCGAATTTTGATCGTGTGCGACCCTGGGGATGCTGCGACGGTCGGTCGTAAGCGGGAAAAACGGGCCCCAAGTCACCTTTTTTTCCAGTGCCGTCGTAACTCTGGTTGCTAAATGAACCGTCGTAAGTCAAGGACTGCTTGTATTTTCTCGCTTGCTAAATGGGGAGGGTGGGGGGGGGAAAAGGCCTGGAAAGAGCCTGTGCAAAAAGCCTCTGTCCGCGTGGCTGCGTTCACTCCGCTGCCGGCGGTTATATTATTCCGAGTCCTTTTATGCAAAGCGGGAAGCCGTCCACTCTAATGGGCAATTAGGCTCTGCAAAATTGCACTTTTGAGTCTGGCCATCTCTGTTTTGCGGAGAGAAAGAGAAGAGCGAGAGTGAGTGTGTAAAAGCGTGCAACAGTTCAGAGATACTTGGGTGAGGGCGGAGGTTGGGCGGGGCGGAGGATGTTAGGAAGGGATCCAGGCAGAAGCAATTTTCTCCATTAAATTGGCCACTTCTGGCTTGCCGTGGCCCCAAAAAAATAAAATACTTTTTTAAAAAAAAAAAATGCAAGCTTTCCCCATTAAAAAAAAATAAAAATACAGTAGCTGTGAATTTTTTTTTTTTTTTTTTTGCACTCTCCCGTATTATGTTACCAACCCTTTTGCTCCTCTCTTTCACAAAGGAATTTCTGTTTTTTTCATGCTTGGCCCCTTTAAGAGAAGGTGGACTTCGATTCCCAGAATTCCTTGCTTAAAAATAAATGGACTTCAATTCCCAGAATTCCACACTTAAGATAGGTGGACACCATCTCCCAGAATTCCCTGCTTCAGATGGATGGACTTCAACTCCCAGAATTCCCTGCTTAAAATAGATGGACTTCAATTCCCAGAATTCCACGCTTAAGATAGGTGGACACCATCTCCCAGAATTCCCTGCTTCAGATGGATGGAGTTCAACTCCCAGAATCCCCTGCTTAAAACACATGGACTTCAATTCCCAGAATTCCACGCTTAAGATAGGTGGACACCATCTCCCAGAATTCCCTGCTTCAGATGGATGGACTTCAACTCCCAGAATCCCTGCTTAAAATAGATGGACTTCAATTCCCAGAATTCCCTGCCTCAGATGGATGGACTTCAATTCCCAGAATTCCACGCTTAAGATAGGTGGATACCATCTCCCAGAATTCCCTGCTTCAGTTGGATGGACTTCAACTCCCAGAATCCCCTGCTTAAAATAGATGGACTTCAATTCCCAGAATTCCACACTTAAGATAGGTGGACACCATCTCCCAGAATTCCCTGCTTAAGATGGATGGACTTCAACTCCTAGAATTCTGGGAGTCGTAGTCCACCTTCTCTTAAAGGGACCAAGCTTGAAAAACACTGTTAAAACAAAACAAAAAAAATCAAATAAAAATAAATCAATCAAAACAAAACAAAAAATAGCTAATTCTCTCACCCACCCACCCTATTCATTTTCCTTGGGTTCCCCTTCTTCTATCTATCAGATTTCCTTTCAGGTGCACGTCTCTTCTTAAAAGCCTCCAGTGATGGAGCATTCACAACTTCTGGTGGCAAGGAGTTCCACTGGTGAATTGTCCTCACTGTCAGGAAATTTCTCCTTAATTCCAGGTTGCTTCTCTCCTTGGTTAGTTTCCATCCGTTGCTTCTTCTCCTGCCTTCAGGTGCCCTGGAGAATAATTTGACCCCCCCCCTCTTCTTTGGGGCAGCCCCACAAATATTAGAAGACTGCTATCATGTCACCCCTAGTCCTTCTTTCCATTAAACTATACTGAGATAATCCTTGATTTAAGTTACGACCACAATTGGGACAAGAATTACCGTTGCTAAGTGAGACAGTTGCTAAGTGCCTCCTTTTACGATCTTCCTTGCTGCAATTGTTAGGGGAATCCCTGCTGTTATTAAATGAGTCACTCGGTTGTTAAGTGAATGTGGCCTCCCCATCGCCTTTGCTCGTCACAAGGGGAATCATGTGACCCGTCGTAAATACGAGTCAGCTGCCAAGCCTCCGAATTCTGATCAGGTGGCCACGGAGACGTAAGTGTGGGAAAAACACTCCCGAGTCCCATTTTCCGGTGTCACGTTAACTTCGAACGGTCACTGAACGAACCGTTGTAAGTCGAGGACTATCTGTAACGCGGTGTTGAAGAATCCAGGACGAGAA